ACAAATAACTAAAAATAGTCTTCAAAATCCAAGTCCTTCCCTGAGATTAATTCCCTAATCTCCCAAGAATTAGGAAGAGTTAAGCTACAATTACTCAGAATTTTTTTTGTTAGAGGCTAAGCAACGTTAGTTTGAGTTAAACTTGCCCTATGCGATCCTGGTTGTCCTTTTACTGTTCTGTTGTATTCCGGACTCGGTTCCGTGAAGTTGGTGGTGGTATCTATCTTGTTGCCGTCCTTTAATTCCACTTGATTGAGTTTTAGGATGTTTTGAGCAGGGTTGTTACAGGTTGGTTAGGCCTTGGTTTCAATTCCTTGTTGTCCAGTTTTTAGGCGATCCGCTCGAGCGGGTCTCCTTGCGCTCGAGCGGGGATTGCACACCTCCAGTATTTCGTGTTCCTGTAAAACTTCTGCAGATGTGATTTTTACGCTCGAGTGGGTTTGTTTACGCTCGAGCGGTAGCGCTCGAGCGGGTTTGGTGGCGCTCGAGCGGGTAGTACTTTCTGGGTATAAGTTCTGGGATGGGGAAATCTATGCTCGAGCGGACTAGTTTTCGCGCTCGAGCGTGTTCAGATTTTTGTTCTTGGCGCTCGAGCGTTGTGTTCTCCGCTCGAGCGGGTCATACGTATATGAGTTATCCACTGGGTGATTTTAAATCACTTTTTGCTTTGCTTCCTCTCTCCTACTTTTTCTAAAACCACTTTTGTGAGCATCTCTCTCTAGAAACTCCCTTCTCTCTAGGGTTTGATCTAGTTAGAGTGTCTTCCTCACCTTCGGCCTTTGTAAAAGTTGTGTTGATCGTCGAGGGCGTCGTTTTGATCTGAGAATCTTGGTCTTTGGAGCACTTTAGTTTTGGTCTCTTCTCCATCCGAACTCTAACTTCGAGGTAGGGATATCCTACTCCTCTTTATGAGCTTTGTCTTTAAATTTTTTCATTTTGATATGTTGGGGGTTATTGGGTAATTTTGAGAGAGTTTGGGCCTTTGTGTAATTTTACAAAAGTTGGGGTTTTTATTTATATAAAACCTAAATGCATGTTTGGCATGGAAAAGTGAAATTAATGTTGAAACATTAATGAAAATGGAACCTAAGGGTTGTAATGTAAATTATGGAAAATGCCCTAATTACATTGATTAATTAATTTGCATAATTAATGATGAGGAATGAGAAATTGATTTGGAAATGTGTGGAATTAAAGGGTGTAGTTGGATTACTTATCGCTCACCTAGTTGAAATCTTGATTATATATCCATTGTTGCATTTATTTTCTGTATAGAAATAAAGACGATGCTTGATGATTAGGCAAACTAAAACTAATCGATTGAATGTGTCATAGAGTATGACGGTGGATTGAATACATTAATTTTATGTATTGATTGATTGTGTATAGAACCCTTGTGTTTATATGCATTGTGTGTAGAGGAGGAGATGGGGGATGTACTCCGCGGTTTAGGGGAAGATGGGGGATGGAACCTCTAAACCGGATGTTGTTGGGAGGAGATAGGGGATGGACTCCATAGATAGAGCTCATATGCTTATCTATTAATGTGTTGACAGAGCTCATATGCTTGTCATTGGAAGTGTGATAGTGCTCATATGCATATCTATGGAAGTGATGATATAGCTTGTATGCTTATCTGTTGATGTGTGATATAGCTAGTATGCTTATCTATTATGAAATGGGAAAGTGTTTGATATGAGTTTCTGTTTCATATAAGTTGTTTGGCCAGGTTCTGAGCCATGGTTGTAAATTGAGAATTTAAAGGAATTGGAAAATAGATTGTAACATGGACTTGTATGTCATGAAACTGTAAAGTGTGTTAAGGGAAAATATCAGTGTTGGCCACCTATCAACTGCTAATCTTTTAGTCATTATTCATATTTGGTTTAGTGTATGTCTACTGGGCTGTGGCTCACCCTATATGGGAATATCATTTTCAGGTACAGGTAGCATGCCACCTCCAAGGACGTAGCTTGGGAGGCTAGAGACAGGCGGGCTTTTGTTGTTTTATTTCTTTGATGTATTACATGTATATTCAAGCCAAGGGCTTAATGTGTAAATGAGTTAGTACTCTTTTGTTGTAACCAAGTGTTAACTTGGAAAGCTGTAAGCCTTTAGGGCATTTGCTTTTGTTGATAACATGTAATACTTTTGGTAATGGAACTCTGATGAATAGAAGGAAGTGAAACTTATATATATATATATATATATATCAGTGCATGTCTATATTGATGGGTTGATGTTATTATTTTGAGGGCGTTACAATGGGATTGAAGCCCATTGAATATAGCAGAAGCCATGTATGAGGATACTCAACCCAAGGACCAGAGATCCTATAACTGGATTCAATGAGAAAAACGATCATATGATGGCCGTGAGAAATGCACTAAATTAATTTTTACCTATCCTTATGATGTAAGTGCATTTATCCTGTAACGTTATAGAGGTTGAGTTATTAAAAAACTCTTAATGAATTTCTGTAGCTCTTATTGAGTGGGGTGTCATAATTACAGGAGCACCCTTGACAGAATTCACCTATGTGAGTGTGGTAATGGGGCCGCTACCTGTGAGATTTGGGCTAATTCTCAAATACACTCATGAATCCTGAGATCGCACAAGGCCGTAACGTGCTGGCATTTAAAGGTTTTGTGAACACCTGGAATATTATGTGTGTGCAATAATTATTTATTTCCCTTAAGTAGTCATAGTTCAATGCTGAGCATACTATTAGCTCTAGAGTAGATATTATTGTTTCACTAATGGAGATTCAATGCAGAGCACACCTACCATGTTGCATAATATCCTTATTTGCCTAATAATCTCAGTTTTGTTACTTATAATATTAAAATAGGTAGAGGAATGTTAGTAGGTATTTTAATATTATAATGTGTTATAGGTTGGCTTTCCTTTTCTTTCCCTCTAAGTTATCCAAGGTCTTGGCCAAGTCTTGGTCTTGGTCCACCATGCTTATTCATCCAAGTCTTCATCCTTCCAAGGTAAGCTTCCTAAGGTCTTGGTCTTAGTCTCTAATCTTATCCAAGTCTTCATTCGTTTTCTTATCCACCAAGATAGGCTCTTATATATATAGTGAACTTATGTCCTATCTAGAGATATATACACGAGAGGTGAAGAAGTTTTGGGTTGCTTTTGTTATGTCTAATGTGAGATTATCAGGAAAATAAAAAAGGATGTGTGTGATAAAGCTTTGGGTTCAACCAATTGTGCAGTATTGGTGAACCACACGACTTAGTCGAGCTGTTGTATCCTGGGAGGGACAAGTCAAGGTTTTTCTGCTGTACCGGTGTGAGGCTTTCCCTAACCGCAGAGGGCTTGAATCTCCTTAAAGAGAGCGAATTTCCCGCGTCTCAACCCTTATATTAATTGTTGTAACTTTTATTTTGTGTATTTTCTGGTGTTTTATTTGTAAGTATCACCTACAATTGGTTTTATAAGACTCATATTAACTTATAATTTAAACTCAATTCAAACTATGTTCTAGTTCATATTTGCATACATTTTTCCACGTGCCTCATAATTTATCAAAGCCGGATCAAGTCATTGATTTGTTCTTATTTTTTAAAGAGGAGTGATGGAGTCCCCCTCCAATCACCACCCCCACCACCCCCACATATATGTGGCAGGTGGTGATTGGAGGACAAGGAAAACAAAAAACAAAAATAAAAAACAAAAATAAAAAAATAAAAAAAATCCAACCAATAAGAGAGAGAGGGGGTCAAAAGGGGTAGAAAAAAAAGGGGGTTTAGACATTTTTGTTTTTTAAAACACTTGTTCCACACTTTAAACTTAAAAGATGATAAATGATCTACCCTGAGAAAATATTGCCCAAGCCAAGCCAATAGACTTTTATTTTTAAACCCTCTCTAATGGTGTTGGCTTAGAAGGGCTCATGGCTTGAGCAATCGGGCCAACGAGCCAGGCGGGTTCAGTTTTTAAACCCTATGTCTAGACCCAACTCAAATGAGATTGGCCCGGCTAGTTCCATGTATGTTTTATGTGCTTGGATTGGGTAAAACTTGCAGCCCCCGGCGGGCTTGCCTTCGGGCCTTAAACGTAAATGAGTCGGTTATTCGCGTAAAATAAAATATAACAATGTTAGAGGGCCATAATTTTTATGGTCACAAAAATTGTGGCCCTCAAATATTTTTCAATAAAATAAACAAATTATATTCTTTATAGGCTGTCTTGTTTCCCAAGTCGAGCCCTACATAGAGAGAGCAAGCACTCGAATCAAGCAAAGTAGTAGTACCAAAAGCCCAGAGCAAAATCAAAATCAAAATCAAAATCAAAATATACAGATAGATACATATAGATCTGTGTCTATAACCCCCACAGAGAGAGAGAGAGAGAGAGAGAGAGGGAGAAATGGAGTGCGTGTTCGGACTGGTAGGGAAGGGTTTCGCTTTGGTAGTGGCCGATACTTCGGCCGTGAACAGCATATTGGTTCACAAATCCAATGAAGACAAGATCATGATCCTCGATTCTCACAAGCTCATGGGAGCTAGTGGCGAAGCCGGCGACAGGTCCTCTCTCTCTCTCTCTCTCTCTCTAATGATTGATTTCAACTAAGCTCTGATCTGTATAAAAATTTCTTCAAATTTATTGTATTTAGTCCTCTATTTGAACTAATTGGGGTTTTGGATTTGAATTTTTGTATATATATATATATGGTCAGAGCTCAATTTACGGAGTATATACAGAAGAACGTGGCGTTGTATCAGTTCCGCAACGGCATTCCATTGACAACTGCTGCTGCTGCCAATTTCACCCGAGGCGAACTCGCCACTGCCTTGCGAAAGGTAATACCTTTTTTGGGGGGATTTTGTACAATTTTTTCATTTTTAGGGTTTGGATTTTACTTTTAACATTAGGGTTTTTGTTTTGATCGGATCATGAAACTGTTGGGTATTGTCTCCAAGGTCTATATTAGGGTTTTATTCAGCATCAGAAAGAGTCATGAAATTTACTTGAAATGTGTACGAGAGCATATGCCTAGTTTAACACATCATATGCAGCTGAACAAGGATGTGTTTTAATAATACCATTATGACCCTAAAAATGGCTGACTACTAGTTATACCTGGCATGTTTGATTGGAAGGATTAGAGCATGGGATTGGGATTATTAATCCGCGGGCCCAATTATCCTATGTTTGTTTTGACATTTTGTTTTAGGATTATCAATCCAACGGATAATTAATCCAACAAATTTGTAGGATTATTAGTAATGGGGTAGGGGTGGGATTGTGAATACCTCACTAATTTGATTGGATTATTAATACCTCACTATTAGTCTTGTGGAATCAAACATGGCCTTTGAGGCGAATATTCTGAATATTACATGAAATTGTACCTAATAAATATACTCCATGCTACAAGTGCAATTGGAACGGTAAAGATAATAATAATAATATATATATATCTTAAGTGAGTATAGTATTAAGAATCCTGGAAGAGTTTTCTTGTTAAATAATCATTATGATGATTTAAGCTAGTGGTAATACTTGGAGAGATGTGTTTGGCTTGGGTCAGTCAGAGCATGTTAAAAAAGCTTTGTTTTGTTTTAATCTTCTCCTTTATACTCTTTGTAACAAGAATATAATGCTGATTAATGTAAAAACTCTGGTTTTCCTAATGACTTGAGTTACTCTAGGTTCTTTTATTGGGATAAATGGATAACATTAGTGGTAACCTTGTATTGTCATTGTCCTACAAACAAATATTGGGGCCTACCCAGCTCTAGTTAAAACTTAAGAGTGAGTTTAAGCAAGCCTCGAAGTTATTTGTAGCTACATCTACTTGTCAATGTGATAATAATTTTTGATTGTGCATGATTTTTATTGCTCCTAGACCAATTTTTTCCCTGGCTGGATATTTGATTGGTTGATAGGGATGTAAGTTGATGTAAATTTTGGCCCAGGTTTGGTTTTGCGGACCATTTAATTTAGTATCTTGCCTTGGGCTTTGGCTAAGTCTGCCTGCGGTCTCCATGGAGGCCTTAGGATTTTGAGAGGCATATTTGGACCTGTTTGAAGGCTTGATGTGGTAGGGATCCCTTTTCCAACAAGCATCACAACAAAGTAGGGTAGCCATTGGATATCTATTGCCAATTAGGCGATGATGAAACATTCAAAGTGACTCCTCTGCTTTTAATTTCTTCACGATTTATTTCTCATGCATATGATTTCATAAATATGAAATAAAAAAAGCATTTTATAAGTGAACAATAAATAGAATATGTTTTGAATCTCTTAAAATTGACACATTTTTCATTAATATCTCAACTAAAAATTTCTATTAACTGGGTTGAATAGCGTAAGATGTTTCGGGGTACATATGTATAGCACTATTGGAATTCATAGAAATAACTACATGCTGATTGTCAAGGGGTGGCAAGATGATGCCTTGGTCTTGGTATTGTAGACAAGTGATTGTGTCATAATTTGATGGGTGTTGTGAGGTATCTTGTATTTTCTTACTGTTCCATCAATTTTAATGTAAGAAGCGTTTTGATGAGAAGTTCTGGTTTGAGTATCTCTGTGGTATAATAGGTGGAGTTTGCTCTGATGATATTTTTATGCTGTCATGGGGAGAAATGGTTATGATGTTCCCTAAAATTTTTAGTCTCAAGTCTTGAATCTCATTGGTCCGTTTTCCTTATCTTTGGTTTTTACTGCTTTAGTTATGATTTGGCTTTCTTTAATTTACAATGTGCACTCATGCGCACACACACAACAACCACATCCCAGTTTAAATTGGAGCCCTGCGGCTCCCTATTTGATGGTTGCAAGGGGAACCAATGAAACTAACAGGTTGTGGTTGACTTCATTCTCTAGAGAGATTTTGTGAGATGATGATTGATTTTAGGGGTGATGAGCTGGTAAAGGTGATTACTTTTTGGTCCCTCATCTCTGGGTACTGTTGTCTTCAATATGGTTACGATTTTCTTGTTTTTTGTTGTTGGGTAAATACCGTAAATCATTGATCACCATATTTAATTGACATTAAAATTAATAGTTGCTTCCTAGCAAAGTTCAGTTAGATAGGAATCATGGATATTTGAGTGGACATCCCTTAGGTCAAATTCTGTGATTGCTTTATTTTGCCTGGCTCAAGAAGGAAAGCCTTTCTAAACAAAGTTGTTTATTCATGTTCATTGCCTTTTGCAATCTAACCCTAGGTTATTTCTTACTAATATTGTTGGGATGGAAACTTTGTTAGTTGGTTAATTTCTGGGTGCATGGTCAAAAAGCATATTATTGAGATATTTCAGATCATTCTACATTGTGTGGGCCTCCTTTAATTGGGTGTATAAATTCTGCTATTTGGACGCCGACATCACAACGACGTTATAGGGACTTTTTTGTTGTTGAGATTGATGTTGGGACAACCAAAAATGGAAGGTAAGACCCTCATTTCGGAATGGAGAGAGTATACGCTTCTTTTTTTAAGTTCTGTTTTGGAGAAGATTTCTTCCATCTTTTTTCTACTTTACTGTGTATTCTTTTATACCCATCAAATTTGTTTTTTTATGATGTAATAAAGAACTAAGGGGCTGTTTGTTTTCAAAAGTAGAATGAAAGGGATTAATAGTGAAGAGATTGTTAGGGAGGGGATTGGTAGTGAGGGGATTAAGTAAAATTGTATTTGTTTTGATAATAGTTGTTAGTGTGAGGATTGTTAAATTATTTTTATATAAAAGAAATAGAAAATAATAAAACAAATAAAATTATAATTTTTACTTAACAAAAAATACAAAAATATTAAACATTAATGTTAAAAAAAATGCCAAAAAAAAAAAAAAAGAAAAAAGAAAGAAAGAAAGAAAAGTTAAGCCAGAGGACTAATTTTCTAATACCAAGTCTTTGGCCTCCATCTCAATACCAACATCCAAGGCCCATCCTAATTCGGCTGGTTTATGAATTCCCTCTCAATCTCCCAAAACAAACACAATATTCGTGGGTCTCACTTTTATCTCAATCCAATTTCTTCCTCCATCTTCCAAAACAAATGGACCCTAGTAATCATGACACTGGAATCCTCCATATCAGTAGACTTGGAAATCATGAAGTTATTTTGATGGATGGATCTTGACCATAGTAGTCAAGTCGAGAATCATATCATGAATTGAAATCCTAATTTTGCAAGTCATGAATCACATCAAACTAATAATTGTAAGATTTGGCACAAATTGATAAACAAACACACACATGGAAGAAGAAAAAAAGATTTTGGCACATATTATGAAATAATTCTTGTGACATTGCCTTCATAGCAAGTGATATGAGTCTAATTCTAGCGAACGTAAAATTATTTAAAAATTGTAATATATATATTTTTTGATATTCAAAAAATGAATCCCAAAACGCTTAATAGAGTAGAATAAAAATAGAGAGTAGGAACCCTTTATTCTATAGCCTAAAACACTTTAAAAGGTGTGTGCGCTTATTATTAAAAAAAATAAATAAATAAAAGAACTATCCTTCACTTCCTTTGAATTTGTACTTTTGAAACATTAGTGTGACAACCTCTAAGTGGTAAGCTAATCCCAAGAGGTTGGCCTGGTGGCAAGGTCCTTGGTTTTGGGGTGTGCTCTCTCCAAGGTTCAAGGATCGAAATCTCTTAGGTGCTAATAATTCCTTGAGGTCATCGAATTGGGGGAAAACCCTTGAATTGACATTGGGGGTGTTTGGGAAGAAAAAAAATAGCCTAATTTAGGCTAAAATTCACAAAAAGACAAAATAGGCTAAAATAGCTAGACAAAATATCACATCAAACCCATAATCATTTCACTTTTTCTCTCACAAACATCACATTCAACCATAAAAAAATTAAATCATCTTCCCAAACACAAAAATTTTAGCCTACTAAAATAGCCAAAAACTAAAATAGCCTACTAAAATAGCAACTTCTCAAACGAAGCCATTGGTGCATTTGTGGAAAATTCCTTGCCAAGAGCTTGTGCACCTCTGGGAATTAGTTGTACTTTGATTTAGACACTCCTGGTGCCAATTGGAAAAAAAAAAAAAAAAAAAAAGTTTGGGAAGTAGGCTATTTTAATTTTTGATTATTTTAATAGGTTAAAATTTTTATATTTGGGAAGATAGTTGGATTTTTTTGTAGTTGGATGTGATGTTTGTGAGGAAAAAAGTAAAATGATTATGGGTTTGATGTGACATTTTGTCTTATTGGCTATATTAACCTATTTTGTCTTTTTGTGAATTTTAACTTAAAAAAAGCCCAAAATCTGTTTCCCAAACAAGGCCTAAGTGGTAAGCTAATTGATAACTCTTTACTCCAATCCCAGTCAAACATTACTGCGTAAGGTGCAATCTGAAGGTCCCAAGGGGACATTATTGTTTGGATTTAGTTACTGTTGTTGTAAAATGGAAACAAGCAACCACCAAATAACTTCCACTTATGCGGATGGTGGAGTATTAATCATAAATGCATTTCCTTGAAGGCTTCCCTTGCTGATCCCTTGCAGACTTTGATCTGTTCCCTTGTTTGAATCTTGTTGTGAACTTGGTGGGCTTGATTTGACAATATAAATAGCTGCCTCTGAATTAATTGTATTTTGTGAGATCATTGCAGTGTTGTTATTCTTCATGTGCTGCACAATGCATGCATATTTAATTATATTACTTCACTGGTCTTGTGCTTCTAGAATGTTGGCAACTTTGCACACATGATCTTTGGATCCAGTCATGTGTTGATGCAGATGCGAAATTGGCTCATCACCAATGCTCACCTGGGTAGTTGGTTTGTTTTTCATATGGAAGTATCTCAGTATCTACACAGAATATTGTTCTAAATTCTATCTGTAAGACTAATGTATATGTAAAACTAGCATGACATGCTTCATCTCAGTTATTGGGTTCCTTCGACACGTGAATTGGCTGAACCTTTGCCATTTGGCTTTTCAGAGCCCATATATGGTGAATATTATTTTGGCTGGCTACGACAAGGAGACAGGCCCTTCCCTATACTACATCGATTATATTGCTTCCCTTCACAAGGTTGACAAGGCAGCATTTGGTTATGGGTCCTATTTTTCACTTTCTATGATGGACAGACACTACCACAGCAACATGACATTGGAAGAAGCTGTTGATCTGGTCGACAAGTGCATAATGGAGATTCGGTCTAGGCTGGTTGTGGCCCCGCCAAATTTCGTCATCAAAATTGTTGACCAGGATGGAGCTAGGGAGTATGCGTGGCGCGAATCTATTAAGGACGCTGCTCACATTTCTACAGCTTGATATGTTTCGGGTTTGCAAGACTAGCCTCTCTTTCTTTTCTTTTTTTTTAATGACTTTTCAAGTTGATGGACCGACATGGAAGCTTACAATTGTGGACCTATTTTCAAAAATTTGAAGTGTTCTTGCTCAATTTGGTGATATGTTATTATCATTGTACTTTGGAAAAATTACATCTTTTTCCTCTTTAGTAGTTGGAAAATGCGTGAGAGCTCGAATGCCCCGAATGTCAAAACGACGTCATTTTGGCATTCTTACCGGTAAGAGAATGACTCAGACTTGGTACGGAAAAATTATTTTACCGGTAAGAGAATAAATCTTACCGCTAAGATAAAAAAAAAAATTTCAAAACAACGTCGTTTTGGAATTTCAGGCCATTCGAGCCGGTGATAATTCGAGTTACGTAGCGGAGTAGTTAATAGTTATCTTTTGATCTTTTCCCATATCTCGGAAATGGTAGAATTGCCTGTCTTGGGAAGAGAAAAACAAAAGGAACTTACAGAGCAGTGTTGCCAGTAATACAGAAGAGTTAAAAGGTAAAGAAAATAAAGGGCAAGGGTAATACAGAGTTAAAAGGTAAAGAAAATAAAGGGCAAGGCAGATGGTATATTTTCCTTTAACTAGGGAAAATAATCGGAGATTTTATTAATGTTAAGAGTTTTGTGATGCTTTTGATGTTAAATTTCACTGTAGAATTTGAAAGTATGATCCTTAAGTGACTCTTATTAATTTTTCTGTCATGTTTAGTGTTATTTCAAGTTTTTATATTTTTTCTGTGAGAAAGCAATTTTAGAAATTGATAGAAACCACTAAACACATCAATAATATTTTTTGGCCATCATATATACCTTAGATTTGATGATGCATTAAATTTCCTCTCTCTCAAATTCTAAAGTATGCAAAAAAATGTGCCTTAAATCACAAATTTGCTCTTGATGCAAAAGCTAGTTAGATTACTTTGATCTTTGTGTGGTCCATAAGAAGGCTTATTTCTCCAAATTTAAAAAAAGTGAAGCATAATCTTCTATTTTGTCAAAAGATGTTGCGATGCTTAACAAGCAATTGTATAGCTAAGCCCTATTGTTTTAGACGGGAAATGTTTCAGTATGCAATGTTACAAAAAATTACGTAAGTTTTTACAGATTAGCGTAAAGTGATTTCACAAAAATACATAAATTAAACAAAAATTTGCGTTTGTGAAAATGTTACATACAATTTGTATTGCACAGTAGAGAATTTTTCATTCTAATATAGCCCTACACAAAGATAATAACACACCAAAGAATTTTTCATTCTCATATAGCCCTAAACAAAGATAATCATTGACAAAGGAATAACGAGGTAAAAATGATAGACTAGTAAGAAATATCAAACATATTGGATATTTTTGGTGTATGTTTTTGCAAATTAAAAGTTGATAATAAGAAAGAAGTCAAAAACACCTATCTTTTAACTTTAAGATAATTAATTAATTAATTTTTTAACTTATTTAAGTTATAGGTAAATTACATTAAATTCCCTTAAACTAGTCTATGACCCACTGTGTATTTTGCCATTTGAATTTCAAAACTCAACAATTAACCCCCTCAAAGTATTACCTTATTACAGTTAACCATTTTTGTTTGGATTATGTTAGAAGTTTATAGAAAATCAAATCATGTATAAAGCACATTACACATTTGTTAAATTTTTAGAATAATAATATTCTTATCTAATGATTCTATTTACACTTTGCCACAAAGATAAGAGAGACAAAATGCAAATGAAATAACCATATAAGAATATTATTATTATAAAATAATCAATAAAGGGTATTGTTGTCATAAAAATTCGACAAATGAGGAGTTGTTGAGTTTTGAAGTTCAAGAAGTAAAGTGTAAATAAGTCATAATTTAAAAAAAATTACTATAATTTACTCTTATATTTTTTCTTGCCTAATAAATTATTATTGAAAATTATACTAAATAGTTTGACATAAAAATCTAAAATAATTTTTTTTAAAAAAACTAGAAGTTGCATCTAACAACATAATATTCTTATCTAATGATTCTATTTACACTTTGCCACAAAGATAAGAGAGACAAAATGCAAATGAAATAACCATATAAGAATATTATTATTATAAAATAATCAATAAAGGGTATTGTTGTCATTAAAATTCGACAAATGAGGAGTTGTTGAGTTTTGAAGTTCAAGAAGTAAAGTGTAAATAAGTCATAATTTAAAAAAATTTACTATAATTTACTCTTATATTTTTTCTTGCCTAATAAATTATTATTAAAAATTATACTAAATAGTTTGACATAAAAATCTAAAATAATTTTTTTTTAAAAAACTAGAAGTTGCATCTAACAACCATCGATATATATATATATATATGTACTAGGTAGAAAAGGCATTGCAATGCACGGGTTGAATAATAAAATGAAAAGATTATATAAATAATTTAAATTAAGTGGGCGTTAGAAAAGTTAGTTTATTGGCTAAAAAAGTCACAATTTTTTTTGAATTTTTATCTTTATTGTTTTTTTTTTTCAAAATTATGTCATACTTTTTTTTTAAGGTTTTTTTTGTTTTTAATTTTTAGTTATTTTAGTCATTTGCCAACACATGCATGATTCACCACCGTCTTCCGCTGCCACTTGCCACCACTTACCATTTCTTACTCTTTTTTATATTTTTAAATTTTTTTAAACATTTTGTCAATTACCAAATGCGTTTGTAGTTTATGTTTTTTTAAAAATAAACAAAAACAAGTTTATAAAATTTTTGTAAATATAAACTGAAAGCGTAAACGTTACCAAACAGACCCAAACTAATTATGTAACCAATTTTTTTATGTGTGAGATACGCTTTTCTCATTTTTATTAGGTAATTAAGAGATAAAGATAACTCAATTAGCGTGTTTTACAATTCTCATTAATCGAGAATACCATTGAAATAATGTCACATAATATTTTTGAAAAATATTTAATAATTTTTTCTACAAATTCACTAATATGGAATAGATTATTATATCGTAGGCAGCGATTTTCTTTTTTATTACAAAAAAAGTAAGATGACAGGCCCAATAAGTGATTAAATTCCAAAAATAAAAAATAAATACTAAAAGCAAATGAAATTTTGAATAAAAATTTGTGTGCATTTTGTTCAAATTTTTATTTAATTTTAATGAACTTTTTCATTTTTTTTTGTTAATAAATAAATCATGAATCCATAACAAATGATTATTCATGTTATTAAATAAATCATTAAGTCAATATATGAGAAATATCTTTAATAAATATTTTTGATAATTTCATTATTGCACAAGAGAGTAGTTGGAATTTTTTTTCTTGATTATTCTATTAAATTTAAAATTCAAACAAGGGATTGTTATAATTTCTAATATTATAGGGGCAATGTATATTTTAAACAAATTTTAGAGGTGTATTTTTAATTTCTCAAAAATAAAAGAATCATGTTTCATAACTAACAAAATATTGATAAGTATTACAAATTTCAAATATTATAGGGACGATGTATATTTTAAACAAATTTTAGAAGTGTATTTTTAATTTCTCAAAAATAAAAGAATCATGTTTCATAACTAACAAAACATTGATAAGTATTACAAATTTCGAATATCATACGGACGATGTATATTTTAAACAAATTTTAGAGGTGGATTTTTAATTTCTCAAAAATAAAAGAATCATGTTTCATAACTAACAAAAAAATCTTTGCAAAATTACAAAAAATTCTTCATCTAAAGTATTACCACCAGTATTGACAAGTATTACAAAAAAGAAAGGCAATATGGGAATTATAAAATATATTAATCTATCATTAGTAAATAATGCAAGGCAAAAGGGCAAAATGGGAAAAGCGAAATACAAGCCACCGAGGGCAAATCGCGGCTTATATATATAGATGTATTTCTTATTGTTTTTCTTTTTATGAAAACACACTAGTATTTTTTTATTTATATTTTTTGGGGGGATAATCATTTGCAAAAAGGGTAACTATATTAATTCTCATTTTAGGTGATTACAATCTCACATTTCTGACTTGATTCTCAAGAGAAAATATTTTAGTAATGCTATAAGCCCTAAATAAATGACCAAATACCTACGTTGGTTGTCACTTAAAAAGAGTGAACCCTATTACTAAATAAGTCTACTTCTCTCATTTGTGCATTTACTGTCCTGTCTTTGTTATATAAAGAGGGATAATAAAAAAGAGACTACATGAAAGAAGAAGAAGAAGAAGAAATAAAAAACGCTCCAAAATCTCTTTCGTTTTAGTCCATTGAGAACATAAACAATCATCGCCAACAAGAAAAGTAACAGTGTGGTCGTCGAAGAAGAGGATTGATCAGGTAAATTCTTAATTTGTGAGATCTACTTCTATACGGTCTAATTTGTTAAATTAACTAAAAAAATTATGCTTCTTTAAATTTCGATGAATTTTATAATCTTAACATACAATCTGAAATAATTTTTTGATTATTCGACCATCATTAAATTAGTGATTATCTCACCTTGATTGGTTCATAATTTTATTTATTTTTTTCGTCTTCACTGAATTTTTTTAATATTTTCAATAAATTTTTTTAATTTTTAGATACGCCTAACATTATTTCAATTAAAAAGTATAATATTTGTAGAGAAAATCCTTTAAAAAAATTTACTAAATACCAAAAATATAAAAATTCAATATATTTTCATATTCTTGTATATTTATTAATTTTTTTAAAATATTTTTTTACAAATATATTGTAATAACCTGAAAATTTAAATTGTTCCTTAAATTTTATATTAATGTTATTTAATTATAAATAATTTCAAAAAAAATAATTTTAACTTTATATTATTATTCGATATTATTTTATGAGTATTATAATATTTTTATTATATTTTTTTCTATATTTTTTTTTAAATTAACGTTCTAGAGTCTTCCAGCATGCTCTAGCCCGTTCTCAAGCCTTCCGGAACCTTCCAGCATCCCTCAAATGCTGCTCCTTGTGTCACAGAATTCTCGGGGCGTGACACTTGTCACCTCTATATAGGAATGAACATGTGCATCAACATCATGTCCCAAAAAAACAGTCTCTCCCTCTCTTTGCTTCTAAGCGTCTTGTTTTATATTTAAAATTTTGAGTTTAATTTGGAGTATTTAATGAATCGTA